CTCCCAAAGTGCTGGGATTACAGGCTTGAGCCACCGCGCCCGGCCCCTCCTGTATATGTTCATATGCAATATCCAGATTCTTTTACACTATAGCATAGAATGAATGAAGCTAATAAAGAAACTTTTTTCTTGTACTTTTTTTTTTTTGAGATGGGGTCTCACTCTGTCACCCAGGCTGGAGTGTAGTAGCATGATCTCAGCTCATTGCAACTTCCACCTCCCAGGCTCAAGTGATCCTCCCACCTCAGCCTCCCAAGTAGCTGGGACCATAGGAGCGCACCACCAAACCCGGCTAACATTTTGTATTTTTGGTAGAGACAGGGTTTTGTCATGTTGTCCAAGCTGGTCTCGAACTCCTGAGCTCAAGTGATCCGCCCACCTAGGACTTCCAAAGTGCTGGATTACAGGTGTGAGCCACTGTGTCCTAGTAAATGAACTTTTAAAATACATAACAGCTAAATAAGCATTACAGCTACCATATTTGCAGCTTCCTTTCAAAGGGCTTACCTCAAGATTGAGAGATGCAGGAGAAATTGTTGCAATTATAGAAGTTCTTGTACGCCCTCCAAGAGAATCCTGGAGAATTCTAGTTAGTTTAGATTCTCGATAAGGAACATGAGGTGTTCTTTCTACAAGAGCAGTAATAACCCTTCCCAAAGTCAACAAGGATTGATTTATATTTCCAGCTTCCCGAGCTCTCTTATCAACAGCTCCAGAACGCCCAATGTTTTCACTTCCTGCAAGATCAACCTTTAATTTTAAAAATAAAAACAAAAATTGAGTCTATTGGATTTGGATTCAAAGACTTTCATTCTCATAGTATACATAATATATTCAATAGCCCGCAAAATAATGTTTCTATAATTAACAAATTTCTTCTCCCACTGCAAAGTTAATCAATCACCCAGTGACCACAAAAATTTGTCTAAAGTACAAAATTTCAAGCTGCTCTATGAGGTTTTTAAGAATGAATCAGTAGTATTAAGGTAGATGCTTACCAAGTTCAACTTTCCAATTTTAACAAGCTCTTCTCCATCAATTGTGGTTTCTTTCATATGTATTGTAACAGAGAAAACTGAGTGGGAACGACTAGAAAACAATATCAAGTTGCCCAGTCATTATAATGTAAAACAGTATTTGCTGCTTCTAAAATACTGAAAACAGGAAAGGAAGATCTAAATACAGAAGGGTAGAGAAAGATAACATCAGACAGGAGATAACAACAAGATTTTGGAGGATAGGAGATGGATAGAACGATGATTAGGTTGCTTTCTCATATCTTCTGCCTGCTAAAGAGACATCAATAAGAAGCTACCTAAAAAAAACCCTAAAAGACAGAATCCAGCCCGGGGCACAGTGGCTCATGCCTGTAATCTCAGCACTTTAGGAGGCCAAGGTGGTGGATCACCGAAGGTCAAGAATTTGAGACCAGCCTGGCCAACATTGTGAACCTCGTCTCTACTAAAAATATAAAAATTAGCTGGGCGTGGTGATAGGTGCCTGTGATCCCAGCTACTCTCGAGGCCAAGGCAGGACAATCACTTGAACCAGGAAAGTAGAGGTTGCAGTGAGCTGAGATCATGCCATTGCACTCCAGCCTGGGCAACAGAGCGAGACTCTGTCTCAAAAAAAAAAAAAAAAAAACCAAAGACTTAGAATCCTGAGGTACCTCTGAAAGCTGGATGTGGGTGGCGTTGAAAACAGTTGCCTGGTTATGTCAAGAAGAGATAGCTTGCAATCAATCTTCCTATTCATAAGAACCATTTGAAATATGTCATTACCATAAATTCAAATGGTACCAAGCAAGCCATTAGTTTACTCTCCCACCTCCCAATTGTATATGCACAAGTACATTTCTCTGCCTTGAGACTGTCATTAGAAATAGGTGACTCCTCTCCCCAAACAGCAGAAATAGTAAACAGTGTGATTACTAAAACACAACAAGATAATCACTGCTAGATTATAAAATGTTCGAAAGTCTACCTTTTGCTAAATACTGATATTCAGGTCAGGAGCAGTATAGCTACCTTTGGGAGGTCAAGATAGGAGGGCCACTTGAACCCAGGAGTTTGAAACCAGCCTGGGCAACATAGTGGGACCTCCATCTCTACAAAACATTTAAAAATTAGCTGGGTATGGTGGCATGCTCCTACAGTTCTGGCTACCCTGGAGGCTCAGGTGGGAGGATCACTTTAGCCCAGGAGGTGAAGGCT